ATTCTACAGTTGCTATGGTAACACAAAAGCTATAGTAACTAATCTGTTGTGGTGATTCTACAGTTGCTATGGTAACACAAACTTTAATAAATTATCTGTTGTGGTGACTACAGTTGCTATGGTAACACAAAAAGGCTATAGTAACTAATGTGCTGAGGTGATTCTACAGTTGCTATGGTAACACAAAAGCTATAGTAACTAATCTGTTGTGGTGATTCTACAGTTGCTATGGTAACAAAAACTTTAATAAATTATCTGTTGTGGTGATTCTACAGTTGCTATGGTAACACAAAAACTTTAATAAATAATCTGTTGTAGTGATTCTACAGTTGCTATGGTAACACAAAAACTTTAGTAAATAATCTGTTGTGGTGATTCTACAGTTGCTATGGTAACACAAACACTTTAGTAAATAATCTGTTGTGGTAATTCTACAGTTGCTATGGTAACACAAACACTTTAGTAAATAATCTGTTGTGGTGATTCTACAGTTGCTATGGTAACACAAAAACTTTAATAATTAATCTGTTGTAGTGATTCTACAGTTGCTATGGTAACACAAACACTTTAGTAAATAATCTGTTGTGGTGATTCTACAGTTGCTATGGTAACACAAACACTTTAGTAAATAATCTGTTGTAGTAATTCTACAGTTGCTATAGTAACACAAACACTTTAGTAAATAATCTGTTGTGGTAATTCTACAGTTGCTATGGTAACACAAAAACTTTAATAATTAATCTGTTGTATTGATTCTACAGTTGCTATGGTAATGCAAGAACTAAGGTAATATAAACAAATCATCAATTATAGGGTGTGTTGTACTACAATACACCACAGTTTAATGTAGTAAAGACTAAAGTATACTACAGTATGCATTGTTGTTTATTTATGTGTTTATCAAAAAACACATCAATACACATATAAACACATGTATACACACACACACACACACACACGCATGTACGCGCACACACACACAGACAGAGAGTACGTGGACACACACATATATGCATACACACATACTGTACTTATATGCACACATATATGCTCATACCTACACATGTACACACACTCATATACACATACATATATACATATATATACATACATACATAAAACACACATACACACAGAGACAGAAACACACACAGACTCATTATTCTTTCTCTATTTTCTTCACAGCTTCACGATGTATTCACATTTATTTTTATTATTAGTATTTGGTCTTAAATTGAAAGTCTTGATTTCTGTACGGCATTCACAGTATGATCAACCTTTACCAGGCTTTTCTGTTACCAAGTGCTTTTAGTATTAGTCGGCAACATGTGTGTGTATTTATGTGTGTGTGTGTGTGTGTGTGTGTGTGTGTGTGTGTGT